CAACGGCGCGCGAGTCGGTGCCGACAAGTCCATGAGCTCATTTCAGTGCGCACTCCACGTTCACGCGTTCGCGCTCCGCCGCAGCAGCGGCATCCCGGACCCGATTCGCACCCCCTGGCCCCTGCCCGCCCTGGACCCTTGTGAAGCATCCCGCGTTGCTTTGCTCTTTTTGGCCCCTTTGAATCTCAACCCCAAACACATACCTGAGACCTGACTGTCCCCAGGAGAGATTCTTGGCGTCTCCTTCGGACCGCCTAGACCCCGTCTCCGGCTCGCACTTTGCGTGTGTTTCCCTGGCCTGCTTCCGACTGCACACCCCGCCCTGCGGCCAGGCGCACCGGGCTCGCCCGCCTGGGGCCCCTCTGACCACAGGGCCTTCCATCTTGCTGGCGCCGGAGTCCAGTCGCTCTGCTCGCGGCCGGCTGCTCTTTCCGTTCCCCCGACCCTGCTCTCACACGTCCTACCCGGGCAAGTCACCGCTGCCAGTCCTGGCCCCAACCGCCTCCTGAGACCCCAGCTACGCTGTCCTTACCTCCACGCCAGATCCCAGGCCCACGCACATCTGCCAGGCCAGCTACCGCACGGCGCCACGCCTCTGCGGAACCCCTGCCTGAGTGGCCAGCCCCACTTCCAGGTGGGTCCCCAGAGCCCCCCACCTCCTGGACCCCGCGCGCCAGCGAGACGTCCTGCACTCGTCCTCTGCCTCCCAGCACGGGCTCCCGGCAAACCCCAGTTCGTGGGCTCCTTTGGCCCCGCGCCCTAAGGCTCGTGGAAGGCCATCCACGGGCACCAGCACTTTGCCCCTCCCGTCACACACCACGCACCCCACCACGCGGGCAGGGCCGGTGAGGGAAAAGCCCACGGGGACTCCTCCGCACAGGTGTCTGGCTCTGTCGAAGTCCAGCTCGCGTGTCGCTGGCAAGTGGGTGCAGCTGGGCGGCCGTCCGCTGGCTTCATAGGAAAGCAAAGCGTGACGGACAGTAAACGTTTGGCAGAGCTGAGGGCGTTCGCGCGGGAAGGAGACACAGGCGGCATTTCAGCTTGGGGAGCGCGCCAGCAGACGCATGGGTACAGGGCTGGGGAGAGGGACGCAGACAAGGGTGGACGCACGGTCTGGCGGGCGCGGAAAGGGACAACAGTAGAAGCCAGCTCTCCGGGCTGGGAAGGAGAGCGGTGGGGACGCAATTCGGACCCAGTGTTGGCCAGGAGCCCACCCTGTCACCGAAGCGCCTTCACCTCCTCCCAGCAGCTTGGCTGCGAGGGTTCCCGAATGGTCGTCCCTACCTGCAATTCTCTGCGGTCAGTTACAGTCCGCTGGTCGAGCTCCGGGAGATCGTGTCCAGGTCCCCTCTCACACCTCCTCCTTGAGGCGCCAGGGTCCCGCTCTCCACTCCCAACCACGCCGAGAGCACACGACGCCCGCCGACCCCAGTCACGGGTCCACGGGAGACGCACGAGAAGGCCAGCGCAGTGGCGGCCGGCAGGAGCAGAGACCGGAGGGCCGCGGGATCCCTGGTACAGGTGGCCCGACGTGCAGGTGTGGGATCGTTTCCAAATCCCGCTCTTTCCCGTGAGGGACGAGAGACCAAGGGACGGCTGGAGGGCGCGAGCCTCGAGCCTCGAGCCACCGACGCGCAGCACGCGCGGTGCGCGCCCGGGAGGTCTCTGTTCGTCGTGGCCGTGGCGGGGACACATGATGCTCACGGCCCTCGGGGGCGGGCGGAGTAAGGGAATCAAGACAAGAGTGCGAAAGAAGGAAGGGAGATGTCCTAAGATCCGGGTGACCAG